TTCCACACGGCACCGTATTCAGGGTGACTGACACCATTCACAAGTGAACCCAGGGATAGAGAGGTGTTCTAGATAAGAGACAGAGGTCTCTTTGGAACTAGTGAGGGCTATTTTTTTTATAAATCACAGTCATTCTCTGGTGATACCTCACCACATCATCCTTGGGTCACGTTCTCCTGGAACATTATAGGTTATTAACACCCTTAATAGCACCCTGTTAGAGCGTGTGTGGGTGTTTGCATAAGATATCAGCTCTTTTTTACCCTTACAGTCAGACAAAGGCTATTGTTCCAGCAAACAGGAGTCATCTTTTTAGATGTTTTTTTTCCAGTTTTCTCCTGTTTTTGTTTGTCAACTTATGGCTGTAACTAGAAAACCCGGAATTAATTTGTATTATCATTGTAAAAATAAAAAAATAAATAAATAGATTTTGACATTACAGAGATATTAATCATAGTTCAGGGCTTACACAACTAATAAGCAGTTTTGGTTCTTAACGTGCAATTAATTGCATCAGCAATGAACTCATTGATCTCGTTCTGGAATGAATGACTCTTTAAGCCAGTCCTGCCCTCTCAGGCATGCTCTGGATGACTTCAAACCACATGTGACACTTGATGAGGACCTGTCAGGTGGCGGCCTGATGGAGACTGATGGCCAGTGTCGGGGTGCAATGGGGGGAAGTGTGTTTCGCATCAACTGCAAGGGTTTTGAAAAGGGGGCGTGGCTACTGCTTGTACAAGAAGGTGAGGCCATGTTCTATTTGTATAGGGTGCCGGATATTCTCAGAAATTTTGTGGCGCCCCGAACCAGTACATTCATACAAATGATACATTGTCATTTAATTAGTTGTTTGTCCTCAGGACATTTTTACCAGTTTTATATTATGACTGTTTTCATAACTAAGTGCTTAAACACTCACTTTTATTATTTAAAAAGAACATTTATTATTAAAACTAATATTTAATATTTAAGAAAAACATTATTCAAGTGTATGTAATAAATTGAAATTGGTAGTAAGTATCAGTGAGACTTGAAACCTTACAACTATGTAGCATTTTTCAAGAATTTTATGTTTTTCAAGCTTGGTTCTCGACACTGGGGCTTTTTCAGTGGTCCAGCGATTGCCGGTAGAGTGTGGTCACTGACTCAACAGGGCCATTCCGCTAATCACAGGTGCCTCCATCCTCCTGTAAGGCTGCATGGACAAACTCCATTCACTCCATCGCTGGTTTTCTAGTATTTTTTTATGAGCATTTTTCTTTATTGTGTTTGAGCCAAAACCTTAAAATATGCAAAGAGGATGTACCTGAGGCATGCTGATAATTTGATAGGTAATGATGCCCTGTTCTTGTAAAGTAAGCCCACATCCATCCTGGTCTGGGTCTGTCCAATGCATTATGGGGCACAAGGCAAGGCTGTCTATCATATTACACCACATAACTGAAAATTCACGTTCTGCACGTGGAAAGCAGGGCACCCGCATCTGCACAGAACACACACACAGAAGAAGTAAGATCCGAACCCCCAAACCTGGAGGTGTGAGGAAAGAGTGTTAATCGGCGAGCCACCACGACAGCCCCTTTTATCGTCTCCTGTTAAAATTAATCACAAATTTGAAGCGTTTGAGGCAAATGCAATGATAAGTGTAATACTGGCCTCTACTGGCCATATCACGTCAATGCCCACACGACACCTACATGATTAATACAGCAAATAAAAGTAGAGGCAGGCATCCGGATGTTCCAGTTGTAATGAAACCCAAGATACAAATGGCCACATCAGCGATGATAAAACAGACGTGACAAACTGCCACACGACAGAAAAGGATATAAATTACCTGCAATTTTCACCTCTAGCTGTTTCCTGAGAAGGAAAATTACCACTGCGCACAACTATATCATATTAAAAGTTACACTGAATAATGCTTATACCTTCTAACAGCAGATAATTGATCTTTATAATCAAGACAATCATACGTAGGCTATTTACAGTTAAGCAGGAATGAACGAAGGTCTGCGTTGTGAAAATGCCTGATCACGATTATAGCCTATTTATTAACACACAATGACTAAACATTTTAATTCCGTTCCTGATGCCAGTCACCTTATCCCCCTCAGTTCAAACTGCTTTGTACAAAGTCCGATGGCAGCTCCAGCCACACCTTCGGAAGATGGATGGGACTCTGGAGTGACATCGTGGGTCAGGTTAATCAGGACGCATAGGGGGAGAAATGCTCCACAATCTCCACGAACACCATTATTCCGGCAGCCGAGGTGGAGGGCGTCTTCCGCGCAGCCAAAACGGGCAACAAAGCAACCTCTATTAAACGGTGCGTTTATGTTCCTTTACTGCGAAGCTATGCACCGACACAAAACCACTATACTGTAATTAGACATACCAAAGTCCTATTATAAATAATTTCACAGGGTTGCTAACTTTGGTCAGCTGGTTGGAGTAAGAGTTTCAATTCGAGACAAGTGCACACGTATTTACAGTACATGTATGCAGCAGTTTTATTAGGCTACCTTATAAATAGCCTGTAGGGTTTGCAAACTGCCCCAACACTTTTGATGTCGCTAATTTTAGATTTATAATGGAATAATACAGATTTGCCGTAAGATTTCTTGCTAGAGCTTGAGAGTCTGAGAGCGTGAGTCACGCCAGATGCGCGAGAGTCGGCAGCCCCGATTTTACATCCCATTACTGCTTCCACCCTATTCCTCAGGCTCCTTGAGTTTAAGTGGAAACAGTGTCACTATATAACGACAGAGTACAAGTGTGATTCCTATTGTTCATAATTGTACTTATCATTCTTAACCTTTCAGAATTCCTCCAGCATCCATTTTCAAACAGTAGGCTACGTCTTATATGCAGAAGCGCCTCAGATCTTCAGGTTTTACAGTAAAAGGGACAGATATATAAATTTCATATATTAAATGTGACACCCACGGGAGGTAATATGCCAGTTTCGTAGATGGAAAAAAGATAAAAGTTTTTTAAGATAAAACAAAAGTTGACAGAGTATAGGTGAAACTGGGAGCTGGTGGCATTGCAGTAATAATGCGACATTGTGTTTTTTTTAATCCAAACAAGAGTAATCACCTCCTTGAAATCTAAGGGGTATAACAAGTATTACAAGATCAACAGAATTAGCGGAAACCAGGGTCGGCGTCAGCATAAAATAAATCGTTATTTATTTCAATGTTGAAATGGCATTTATCCTAAAACAAATAAGCTTGATCAGTCCCAGGGGCGTGACTGCGGATCATCTGCTTACTCAGCGCTTGGCCACTTACCCAAAACTGCCCCGATCGGCAACCTTTACCCCCCGTGAAAACCTAAGGTCCACCTGTCAGATTTGTTCTGGCGCCGACACTGCACAGAAGTATGTACTGAGACCTTCTGCAAAATTTACTGTATGCATAATCATCAAACCAGCATGGATCGAGCGCTTGTACTGGGGTCTGGTACTTTTTATCAAGTTGCTATAGGCTACAGTTCAGCTGTTTCTTCAAATGTCAGCAAAAAAAAATTAAAAAAATCACAAACATTACTACCAAAAAAAGTTAACACGCTGTTTAATCTTCTGCACTTACAAAAAATTAGTCAGCTGATGTTATGTTTACTGCACCATGTCAGCAGGGGCCATTTTAAATGAATTATCTTCATGTCCCATGAAAGCTACATTATTAGACATGTTAGGTTTAACTTTTTCCATTTTTGGAAATACACACAGAAATCAATGGGAAAAATTTCACATTTAACAGAACATAAGAAATTTACAAAGGAGAGGAGGCCATTCGGCCCATCAAGCTCGTTTGGGGTTGAATTTAAGATTTTTTGTAACAGAAAGAAAAATGTAGGCGAACAATTTCTTAAACTTGAACATAAAACTTTATTTTAATTTTTTTTAACAATCATTATTAGCATTATTATACTAACGCTAGCAGAGAAATAGCCCCACAGCCCAGATGTGGCCAGTGAGCTGGCATTTTTCCAGTCCTGGGTTAGAGGGATGGGGAGACCCTGTCGTATCTTTAACCTGATCGTTATTTACTTTAAACAAATACTTATTGTTAGTTTTAGTAAATCACCATCAAACATCAATATTAGCTACTCAGACATGGAGTGCTCATTAACCTAAACTACTTCTGATATCTATCATACTATTGTACTGACAAAATAATTGCAATCAATGTATAGTATTTCCCACACAAAGTATGTTTTCATTTTTTTTGTATGAGTAGTCAAACTAAAAACAAAGGCTTTAACTATGTGAATTAGTCACGTTCTGTTTATGATTATGCACTTAGTATAAAAGGCACAACTTTCACCATGAGTCATTGTTTTCGAGACAGATGAACTTTGGCAAAAAAAAGAAGTAATATTTTTGTCTTTATAACACATGTTGTGAGAGTTATCAATAGCACAATGCTGTGGTTGGGGCGAGCTTTTGCATCTCCATGGCGACTGATCGCCAGCTGAGCACCTGCACTCTTCAATTAATGAATCCCAGCTGGCCCTGATTGGACTAAATGACTTTCTCGGCTTTTAAATGGAGGCAGCTGGGCAGTGCTTGGGGACAGATGGGTAGAGTAGAGGAAGTGGTTGGGGAGTTACTCCATGTGCTGCAATCTTACTGGCTGTTTGTGGCATTTTTATTAACCTTGAGTTGTTTGACTTATTTACTCAATTCTGAGTTATTTAGTTCAAGGGGTTCAGCTCCATTTTGTATTTGAAAGTCTTCCTTTTAAACTCCTCTGTCCAGCGCTTCTGTCCTGCTCTTGGCAATCTCCCACATCAGAGCCTGCCACAGTTCATATTCATTAAGAACGTCTCAAAATAAACCCGGCCAAGACCAACAATGAATTCTACTTAAGCTCGTTGAAACACTAATATTAGAAAAATTAAGGCAAAGCCACAAGATGATATAGAAGCTTTTGGTAGGGAAATAAATAAATAAAACTTTTCATGTTAAGTAGGAAAAAAACAAAACATTTATATTTCAATATTTATTTTCTTCACATCCAGCATGAAATGTTTGCTTTCCAAGACCATCTACATGAATATCCCCAGCAAATATACTGAACAAACCCTAATGTTTCACACATCCTGATATATACACCCAGGTATTTTATGTATGTTGTCTCTGCAATGTAGTGTTAAGTGGTTCAAGGCTCTGTAGATCACTTTTCTTGAATAAATGTGAGAGAATGTGAAGCATCTCAATAATTAAGTGGTTCTTAAAGGCCTTAAAGACACTGCAAAACATATAATAAACTACTGGAAATGTTGTCTTTAAACATGTGAATAGCCTTATTTCTCCAACAAACAAATTTGCCAATATTTTGTCTGCCAACATAAATTGGATCACAAGCTATAAACTAGTCATTGATATATGTAGAACCTTTAAGAATGTTATTTAACACATTTAATCATTTAATTTAATTAAAGCAAAGTGCCTCATCACTATTTAACATCAGCTATGCAGGAATTGCAACACTACCAATGATTTGATTGCCCCTTTGATTGCTACTAAAACCTTCACACAAAGGTCAGGTATTGGAGTGCTTGCCTGCCAAAATGCCCTTATAAATAAATCGCTGGCCAGAAGTCAGACTTAGTGTTAAATTAAATAGTCTAAATGAAAATAAAAACAAAGAAAATTCAAAGACAGACACAACACTGGCAAGTGCATCTTTGGGGTTTGGCCCAGATGTGGCATGGCTGTACGTGCGTGTATGTGCATCCCTGAGAGCTTACGAGCTCTCCTCATCGTCTCGACCACACGGGAACTGCTGGATTTGCCGAGCAATCCGCTCGGCGATGGGCCTGCTGCTCGCCGTGATCAGCCGGCGGGACATGAGGTCGAAGGGGCCCCCTGAAAAATGGCCGGCACCAGACTCAACACTCAAGAAAACGCATGACACATCAGACAAGACAAGTAATGTATAGATAACTAAATTTAAAAAACAAACTATCACAAAGCCAACAAGAATATTTATTTTGAAGCATTTAAGATGCTAACAGGCAATGGAATAGACAACTTTCTATATGTAATCTTCTAGGTCAGAATCAGAATAGTGTTTACTGCCAAGTACTTTGATACATACAAGGAATTTGCTTTGGTGGCTGGTGCCAGACATAGATAATAATATAAGATATATAAGGGTATATACAGGTATAAATAGACAGAAGAATGTGAAATATTCATATAGCAGTAGAATTTTAAAAAATACATATTTGAGAGAATGAAAGCTCTCTGCAACATGGTCCTGATGGTAATAAACTGGTGAAGGGGATGAAATGTGTCTTGTGTTACAAGACTGACTGGGAATATATCTGTATGTTATCAAACTGACCTGACTGACAACCTGAAAAAGCTTTGATTTGACTTTAACAGTGAGAAAGTTATATCAAGATCAACACAGACAGTGTGTCCTCAAATGCTTTTCTAGAGCTTTCCAGTGTCAAGCTACCAAAAACTCTTACCAGTGGTGTCCATGATGACCCCACCAGCCTCAGTGACGATGGCGGCGCCCGCTGCCATGTCCCAGCAGTGTATTCCGATGTGATAGTAGGCGTCCGCTGAGCCGCATGCCACCAGACACATGTTGACAGCCGCACTTCCTGGACAGCGGATGCTGGAGCATGCGTACGACCAATCAAAACACAGGCCACACTTACTCTCCACAGAATGCAGTCAGTCAGAAGACGGCTTATATTTACTCTCGAAAGCGGCATGTTTTAAGGGCGTGTTGAACAATGCTAATCATGTAAAAGTAGAAAATGCTCAAAATATCTCATTTGAAATACCCATATGCTGGCATCAACATAAAGGGCTTAAGTTACTTCTACACACAGTTTAAGATCCACTGATTAAGAATACAAGTCATTTCATATGGAGTTTTTCTATTTCTTAATGTTAGACTGTGCTAGGAAATGGCATGTTTCAAATATGAAATATCTATGCATTAGAGCAAATTATTCCAGCAGACACCATATATAAATTGATTACATTGTTTATGTAACTAATTATTGATGTATTTTGGAAAGGCAAACCAATTCAACCAGAAAAGCTGTTTGACCCAAGCTTACCCATGTACAGGGATGGTCAAGATATTCTGGATGTTGGACATCATGGTTTTGAAGTGATCTCGATTTTCCTTGAAGCCGATTTCCGTTAAAACAACAGACTTGGTGATATCTGTGGAAAAGAAGAAATGTTTCCCAGCTATGCGTTCTTTATAATCTGGTTTAACTACAATTTAGTCACCATTTTGCTTACACTAAGACAGCGATTCTCAATCCATGGGTCATGACCCAAATTTGAGTCACGGCAAGTTCTGAAAGGGTTGCGAGGCAGAGTTGGAAATGTAAGCATTTTAAAACCAGCAAGCTCCTATTCTGATCCACAATCAGATTTCCCTGCCCTGGTCCTACAATTAACCTATATAAGTGGGTCTTGGGTCTGCAAATCCTTAATGCAAAACTAGTGAACACTGAACAACGATCCAAGAGGCCAAACCACAAATGCTTAATTTACAATTCACTGGCACATCCAGTCAGATTTATGCAATACACATTGACATACTTTATCATTGTTTGCAAACATTCTTGATTTAAACTGGACAAATCAAGCTATGGGAATGTATTTTACTTACTTTAATCTATAATCAAAGGCAAGATTGTACAAAGGTGTGAAGTTACAAAAGAATCTGTCAGGGCAGTGGCATATACACGTTTATCTGAGAACCAGTAATCTTTCATAAATTCCATTTTATAGTGTTAATATGAATGTACATTGATATTTGCAGCGTTAACAAGACAATTTAGATGTTAGGTTTTCATCTCCTTATAAGACAGAATATGTTGGCATTGGGGGAAAAACATCACACAGATTAACTCAGTGGACATAAATGGGAATAAAACATTGTATTTTACCCTGCTGTCCAGTATTTAAAAAAAACTTTTCATTTTTCATTATATGAAAATATATGGATACATCTATGATTTTTACGGTCACATATATGTAATTACATATCTGTGCTAGAAAAAAACAGGTCCGGCTATCAGATAATTGCTTTATAGTCCATTTTATGTGAGTTTACTTATAAGGGAAATAAGCTCCACTTATCCCCAAATGCTTGCAAATAAGGCTACAGTGCAACCCAGAATAAATGCTACTCTTGATAAAAAAAAAAGCCTATAGAAGTTTTCCTTTAGCTTTATTTTATACTCCAATTGACTGAAACCTCACGATTCTTTTACTCTTCAGTGGTGATGTGTGAATTCCTGTTGCACTGGAGGGTATGAATGAGGTATCACACAGGCCAAACCCCCCAGTCAGAAAATACAAAAATGAAATCAGGCAAAAGGTTGCTGGCCTACATAAATCAGACAATGGTTATAAAGAATAGCTGTATGCTTGAAAATCCAATGAAAACGTCTCCAACAAGTGGAACTGTGATGAAACTTCTTGGAAGAGAAGGTAAGTCTGTTCTGCCTGCACACGCAATGAGGAGGATGGTTTGAGATGTAAAATCTTGGATACATGGATCACATTTCAGCAGCTGATGGCATCCTGGGGTTACCTAGTCTCCAAAACTACAATTAGATGCCACCACCATGCCAGCAAACCCAATCTGGCAGGCTTTCCAGAAGAAAGCCTCTGCTGACATCAAACCACAAACGTAAGCACCTGGAGTTTCCTAAACGTTACTGGAATTTTGACTGGAAGTAGGTTTTCTGGTCAGATGTAACTAAGATATATTTTTTCAGCAAACACTAGAGCTGGTTTTGGCTTAAAATAAGTCACTATGAAAGGAACCTGATCCTCAGAATAAACCTCGGTGGTGCAGCTGTGATGCTGTGCGGCTGTTTTTTCTCCCAGACATCCTGGAAATCTTGTACAAACACATGTCATCATGGAGTCAAATACCAGGAGATCGTAAACCAAAATCTGCCCGACTCTGCCAGGAGGAAAACACTCAGTCTTGGTAGGATCTTCCAGCAGGACAATGATCCAATACCTCCAAATCCACCTAACATGATTCACTGACCACAGAGTTAAGGTTTTCTACTTCCCTTCCCAGTCCTCTGACCTAAACCCCACTAAAAACTTGTAGAGTAAGCTGAGGAAGAGTTTTCTGGAGGGATTTATTGATGGAGGAGTGATCTCGAGTCTCTGTAATGTCTTCTCCCACCTGAGCATTAGATTGGAAGACTCTTTGCTGTCATGGGAAAGGGAGGGTCAGCAAAGTACCTAATGCAGGGGTGCCAATAATCATGATACAATGCCAATTTTTTTGTGTGTCTTCCACTAATAAGTTCACCATGGTGAAAGGTTAGATTTCTCACAATCTCAGTTTCAGACCTAGCTCATAAACATACTTTTTTCCCTAAGAATTTTTGGTCCTTTTTCCTTCCATCCATCCATCCATCCATCCATCCAGTTTCTGTAACCACTATTTAGGGTCACGGGTTGGTCCTTTTAGGTTTTGCATCTCACCGTTTGTCTTCTCCCAGATGTTCTACCCTGCAACTGTAGCACAAGATGTGCCTCAGAACACGTGGCAATAAAACGTGAACTTGAAAGGTGTGAGTCCATGTCTGAAGAAAAACTAGATCTGCCCACTGAATAATTAGTTTTAAGCTGAATGTGGCAGAACACTATTTTACAACATATTAGCGTCACTCTGCCGCGAGTAGCACTCTCGGATTCAGGAGAAGTAAGAAGGTGCAGAAAATGAAGCACAGAACCAGTCAAGGCATCCCCCTATGACCTGGGTACCAATTTAATTTCGGAGACGAGGTGGAGTGACCCCCCCCCCCCCAGGCCTGCTCCCGGTAACCAGACTTCTGGGGGGAAATCCTGACATCGCCCCTTGAATAATTCATGGCTGAACTACGACGACATGTGACGATAACGACGACAAAAGCATACCAACCTTCCTGGCCTGAAACTTTGATGGGCTCCCCGTTGCAAAATGCTCCTTTCCCCCTGCGGGCTGTGTACATCTTATCCTCGACACAGCTGTACACCACCCCGAACTCGATCTGCGGCATGACGGTGAGAACAAAGGTCCATGTTCAAATTCACTTTCAGAGAAAATGATTGGCTGTGGAATCTGTGCACGGCCTGTAAGTCCACACCAATCCCGCTGTGTACATGAATTCTTTATTTCCCATAGATACGTAACTGCGACTACCCAGAATCCCAGTAAAAAATGGAACTTTTATCTGTCATTTGTACAAGAACAGCTACTGGGACACCTTTAGCTGTGGCATGTCCCATCATGCTCTCCTTTGAGACATAGATGTAACCTCCTGAGACTCCACCCATTCATTTATGTCCATTGTAGTGGACATTTTATTTTTGCATCAATCTTTTCACTGATGTTAGGAAACGTATTTATTCCTGCTGTGCACTAAAGAGGACATGTTGTGAAATTAAAAATAAAAATAAATTTGAAAAAAATCTAAATTTTAAGATGTCTTATTTCCTCCAAAGACAAATAACCTAAAATTGAAGGACACTTTTTTCCTTGGGTCTCAGGAGGATATATATAGTCAACAGTGAAGCTTGGTGTCTGACAGAGGGTCAGTCAATTATCCGGTGCCACTGGAGCATTTTACAGGGTTAAGAGCCTTGTTAAAGGGCCCAGTGGAGATGTGCCTACTCTGCTGACAATGGGATCCGAGCTGTCGACCTTCTGAACACAGGTACAGAGGCTCAATCCGCAGACTCACAAACCCACCCAAGGAAGATTTACAAAATACAGATAGTCCTAAGCAACAGGGCTCTTCAAATCACAGTCCTCTCGAGCCGAGCCCTGCTGATTTTCCAGCCTTCCTTTACCCGTGAGCCGGATGTGAAGCCTCTGTAGCCTATCAGAATCAGTAATTATTAAACTAACTACCTGGGAGAACTGAAAACCAGGCTTTGGAATCAAGGGCCATATTTGAAGCTCTAGGATGTCCATACACGTAATGAAAAATTTTATCTATAATGTTACAGAAATAAAAGGCTCGATTAGCCCCATAAGAGACAACAGTAAGCACACTGACCTTCTAAATCTAATTCAATCAGCTGCAGTTTGAGTGTAATATTGATTCTGTCATGAATATATGTTTTCTACACTAAAGGCCTGTATTTCTACAACATGACAGCAATCCTTCATGCAACTATGTGCCAAATCAACTTTACCTCTTTGTTAACTGTAAACCCGATGGACACTGAAACAAACGGAAACCTAAGGAGAAACAAAAACAACAAAGAATAAACAAAATCGGCATATCGCAGATCAGTGTAACTGGTGTTTTTAAATTCTCATCTTTTTTATATCAAATGTAACTGAAGCACATAAATAAATGCTTCTTTATACACAAATTCCATAGCAATTCAAATGATTCAAAAGATGATGAGACAAGATTGTAAATTTAAATGAAAAAAGTTACATTCTGCACCTGTAAACCATACTCTCAAATGTGTTTACTCCATAAATCCAAAAAATGGACTTAAGTCCAAAAATATTATACTGAGCTCATTTTATTACCAGACATAAATATAACTGGACCTTGAACACAGATGAACTTCTGTTTCACCAAAAGTAAGGATGCATCGATACCAGTATGAGTACACAGTCACCGATACCAATTAGGGCTGGGTGATGTCTTTACTCCTACCCAGCCCTAACCCTAACTATAGTAACCAAACTAAATGCAAGACATTTGGCACTTTTACTTTTTTGATTGCATTCACAGATTTTTGTGGGGACCTGAAAAATGGTCCCCACAATGTAATATAAACATAATCCACACTCACACACATACACACACGGCACCAAGCGGGGCACTTAATTTTTTTTAACCACAAAAAAAAAAAAACTGTGAAAACATGAAAAAACAATATACGGATAATCTGCGGAACAGCCAGCGTTAAAATTTCCCACCAGGGGAGGGAGGTGCTGATCATCATTTTTTTTAGTCTCTGTGGAAAAACAATCAGGCCAGATTTCATTATAATCTAAAAACATGTTGCAGGCCATCTAAAACCATCTAAAACATTTTTTGCACTGTGTACCACCTCAAAAAGTATCACACTCTCTGCTTACCACTATTACTACATTACGTTAGATCATCTAGATTCTAGAACAATATACTAGGTAAGAGCTTTGGTTATTTTTACTGCAACTGATTTTCTCTCTCCGTGTTTGCTGCTAGGTAGGTTGTTGCACCTTGTTGCTGGTGGCAGTTTTGTCATACCCTATCTTATGTTTTGTTTTTAGATGTTAGATTACTTGTGCTGTTGAATGTGTTTTCTTACCTCCTCTAGAAATTTTAACAGCGCAGTTTGCAGTTTGATATGCTTCGTTTTTTTGTTGTTAATGCTGAAGTGCTTCCACATCACACATATTTTGTGGTCCTGTTGATTTTGCTCATTAATGATATAACCGACACGTTATCATCTGGTATGGGTTATAGGCATCGGTGCATTGTCACGAGGATGAGTCTGAGTACCCGAGTACTGTATTGGTATCGATACACTCATAACCAATACACATTTCTGTCTGAGACAAATGGAAACACCCGTTTTATCTCTTAAGAGAAATTTTTCGAAGTCACAGATGGGAGGGGAAAACTGGAATTTCAAATGACATTATAAAATTGCTCAAAAGAAAACAAAATCCTACAACGACAGCCTTCTATTGCCTACTGGAAGGGAAACTGCTATCATTTTGAAACAACTTCTCCAGATATGTGACTTACTAGTCAAACACACCTATGGACAAAGTTAGTGGTTCCATCTATGGGGTCGATGATCCATGTGGGATTTTCCGTAAGAATGCTGGATGACCCTGTGGCTACAGACTCCTCCCCAATAAAGCTGTAAGGAAAGAGAGCGAGCATAATTAATCAGTCTATAAAAATAATAAGCTGCTGACAGACGAAAAGCAATCAAAAAGCTGCTAAAACACTGTGGCCTCAATCTGCCAGGGTATTCAGAATCCTCCTGCTGTCCCATAGTGTGTGATAGTGAGTCTGAGTGTGTACGTGAGGGTGACTCTCATGTTGCTTGGAATAGGCGCCCCCAATCCTGAACAAGATAAGTTGATGGATGGATGGATGGATGGATGGATGGATGGATATGTTGTGTTCAGACTGAGCTCAGCTTTCAGCCACCTGTGACCGGGGTACTTCTCTCTGATGGAGGATATGATCAGGGCCTCAACCTTCTGGTCCGTCTCCGTCACCAGGTCCACCGGGGAGCTTTTCTGCATGACAGAGATGTCCTTCTTCAGAGCCTCCCGGATCATCTGACAGGATCAAAACAATAGCAAATGACGAAAGTAAGACATGAGCAAATGTCAGCTGTCAAGCAGTGAGGGAAGGACTGGGGAAGGCTAGATGAAGCCATTGTTATTTTCAAACATTCTTACAAAGCTATTTCGGTTTTACCGATCATGAACCAATAAAATGTATTCGGAATCATGAGCCTGGATTCACAATGGCTACACTGCATAAGCTTCTAGCCATGCTGCAAATGCTCATGAATATGAATGACCTCCTGTTGCTCTTGTTAAACTGAGCAGAACGTGACTTTTGCAAAGAGTCCGCTGGACTGAGAAAGATGTGATTTATGCTTAGAATTGTTTCCTTATGCCTCCAATGTTGTGAGTCCAGGTCCAGCTCTTCCTGCCACATGTCCTGAGTGGGATTCCTCCCTCGGTACAGGGGAGGAAAGCTGGCCAAGCTGGCCACTCTAAATGGCCTGTCGTTTGCATGCGAGTATGTAATGTGAAATGTAATGTTATGCATGTTTGATTTTCATCTTTTGGAGAAAAAAAAAACATTATTTGTAGAAAAAAAAATGTTAGTTACAGTTACACAGGGGAGTTCTCATTTCTTCCTTTGTGCAATTAACAATGGTGAGACTAATTGTTCTTTCTGTGGAGCAGCTTTTTAAAACGTATTGTGAAATCACTAATTTTTGCTATTGACATTTTCAAATGGCAAGCTTCAGTCCATTTCTTCAAAAATGATGCTGTCCCTTCATTTAAACCTTCTAAATACTGTAATCACTGTTGCACTTTATGTCACTGTGTCCTTGTTCAACTGCCCTGTGTGCCTTAATTGCCCCTCTGGGACAAATAAAGTTTTTTAAAATTGAATTTAATTTAAAATGCTTGTACTCCATCTGAAATATTCCCATGAGACTGAGCACAGGAAGAGGTGTGGCAGGTTATTACCTGGGCATTTTTGTGCTATAAGCCAAAAACATTGCATTTGATTTTAAAATTCCAAAATGGGTTTACAATTATCTGTCTGCCAATGTACAAAATGTGAACATCCTTTTCATCTAGAAAAAAGAACAAAAATATATTATGCTGCATTTTCATAATGAAAGCTGAAAGCAAGCAAAGCATGTGTGACATTTAAGCAGATGAGTCACCTCTCCAGCCTTTCTTGTAACTGCAATGCAGTGGTCCATACACTCTTGCCAGGGGTCAGACATGTCCTGAAAGCATTTCAGTGGGAGGGACAATAAAATAAATCGATATGTGAAACATTTAACACAAGAGCCACCGCAATGATCCTCCTGTCCACAAAAACAAAACTAAGAGAAATGGCAGTCAAGATGCATTGATAAAATTAAGTATCACTTCTAATTCTACACATATACACACAGACTATATCGCTATCCTTTCCCCATATCCTGTTAACAAAACAAAAGCAAGACCGTTCGTATTCTGGACTCACATCAGCCCGAGAGCTGTGTTACAATGCCAATGAATCACATATCGTATAAAAGTTAGAATGTAACAAGAGGGTTGATCGCCGACTTTTCTTTTCTGAATACGTTTTGTATAATAAACTAAAATAGGACGCCAAAACCAGTTGGATGAGATTTGGCAAAATCACGTTACTTTTCAGAGAAATGCTGCATCCATTATACTAGGGCTTATTCACACATAACTGTCAAAGTCCGTAACAGCAACCGTATCACAGGCAGGAGATGTAAGCAAAGACGGGACCTGAGCAAATAAATCAGATATATTCCTTAGGTACCTCACTGAATCTTGATTCCACTTGGGACGTTTTATACTACAAAATCAAAAAAAAAAAAAACAGAGGATTTAGTGGATGGGCAGTGGTACAGGCTACCTTTCGTCTTCTTCGTCTACTTTTCCGGCACCAGTCGCCCCTGAGTGTTGCTGACACCTACTGGCCTGGAGTTTAGCGGGGTCTGATTCCAATTATACTGCGCAGTGTGTAAAACCAAGGCAGAGAACTCTTTAAAATCTGTACTGGGACGAAAACCGATGTACCAATGAGCACAAAGCCTTCACCTTTGTGAATTATTGTCTCGATATTTTAAGAGTAGAACTATTGTCGTTTAAAATTCCAAGCTAATGAACCTGTCAGATTTGACTGTTCTAGCAGTATAACGTATAACAATACCTCTGCACTAAAGGACTACAAGCCCTGATAAGAACTCTGAGCCAATGTGCTCCACTCTTCTGCCCCTTTCTTACTTATAGACAATTACTTTTTCAATGTTTACCCCAATGTGGGAAACAGCTCCCACACCCGCAATTGTTTGTGTTTTGACTTTGCCCTCCAACTGCAGCGAGACAGATGATCTTCAGATACGGTGTCTGGCAAACTGCCACCTGGAGACACCATTCTCGGCCCCCCCGATTTTCAAGATAATCCCATGGTGACCTCATCAAGTATGATTTCCCAAGCCCCAGGCCCTTACTGTCATGCCTTCTTCGTCTTCAAAGAAAGTATTTGTCTTCAATACATGTAACAAAATGAAGGGAAAGAAAACAATGGAAAAATCACCGCACAAATGACAGAACAGCAGAAGTACACAATCAATAAACTGGAACATCACAGTACACATACTCTAATTCCTCTTTGGTCAATAGTTGCACTTTACATTCATAGTTTAAATACTTATACATTTACATTTACAGCATTTGCCAGACAGCCTTAGCCAGAAGTCTCATCAGTGAATACATTCTGATACTGGTTCGATAGAACCCGATTAAGAATACTATCATTCTAAACAACTCTGTTGCTAAGTAATACATTTTTTTTTAAAATAAGAATATAATCCTGGAAGTGCTAATCCAAGTACTTCCAAAGGAGGTAGGTTTAGCAGATGCTTGGTCCAAAACAATGAACAAGTGAAGCAAACAGCACACTAAGAACATCACATGCTGTCACAGAGTCGAATAGGCCCAGATACAATAGGCCCCAGTGAATGCCCAGATACAAGTGTAAGCAGTACTGAAGCAGGAGTTACCCAACAACATGTAACAAAGCAAGAACCTAGTAAGACTCTTCAAGGACCAAAAGTGCAACCCTTACGAAAATTCTGGGAACGTAAAGAGGTATCGGGGTAGTAGAGGAATTCAGGGAACAGATGGTGTTATGTGGGTGGTATAGAAATCTGTTTAAAAATTACAGCTCAGTTGTTCTGCTCAATTGCCAAAGGGATTAAATGGGAATCCTAAAATCTGGCCTCTAAGCTCATGTTGATCCCGTAGGTGTATCACATACACCTCTGTGTTTTATGTGGGTGACTTAGTTAATTTTTTTTGTCCTTGCACAACGCAGTCAGTCCATCCATCTTCCATAACTATTTACTAGTCCATGGTAGAACATGCACACACTAAATCGCAGGATAGAAGGAGCACTTAAAAGAAAACATGTGCCATCATGAGATTTTCAGGAAAATTCCACACATAATTATAATCATAATGAACATGATGCCCGTAATTCAACCCAGAATTTTAAATATATATATATATATATATATTGTTTACTGAGTAAGGTCCTTTCAGAAGCGCTTCCATTTCTACATTAGAGAAGTCACTGAGATTTACTAGTGCTTTTACTGAAAGCAATAACACTGCTGTGTTTTGGAATTTGAAGGTTCATCACTTAAGCTTCTTTGATATCAGCAAGAGATCAACGTTTCAAACATCAGGTGTTTTACATGCTTATAATTTTTCACTTAGCAATAAGTTTGCTCAGTAGGTGGTGCTGGAGGGTCATATGCCAATGGAATTACTGGCTACAAAAGCACACGTATATACTGATCTTTTACATTTACATTTACATTACATTTCGATTCATTGCACCCATTTGTTTGTCTGTTTATTCTCCGATGGCTTTGGCATTCCAGTCCTGATACATTTATTCTGAACAATGATATATTAAGCATTAAACATGCATTTCAAGTCATCGTGGATGATTTGAAATGTATAATTAAATCATGCTTCTTAACCTTGTTGTTCTGCAGTTTATTGGTCATACGTCTCCCCACTCAATATACATGGGCTAGGTGTTATAGGTTGAGTGTTTTGAATTGCTAGATTATAAAGATGAGGTTGTGAGTCGTTTAAGCTGCTTGATGATGTGTGTAAAATTGCAGGAAAGCCATGTCCTGTGCACATCTTTGCTCTGGGTTTATAGCTTAATTACATAGTAACCCTGTCATTCCTGTACCATTTCAGGTCATGAAAAAATGTGGTAAGCAGACTAACAGCCCATTGTCCCACTCAATGTTCTTACTGTACCTGGTTGCAGAATTAGGTAAGTCAGCTTAGGACATAATAGCAAGCTGGTGGTTTTATTGTCCATCTGAAATAACAATGATGTTTGGCTATGTTGATGTTACAAGACCAAACAAAAGTACCCATTAGTGATTACACTGGATGGACTGTGTGATCTTATAGTCCTCTTTGTTTCTGTTTAGCTGCTTGTTTGACAAATGAGAAAATCAGTCACTGTTTAATTAACAAACACCTGGTTAAGTTTATATAACAAGCAACATTTATAAACATACCATATACAATCCCCCCATGTCACACACTGGTAGTATCAAGCTAAAGATCATTCACAGCAGATTAAAATGCTACAAGAGAACTGGCTTAAATACAAGCAGGATTCTGGAAAGGCCAAGGGAATAGAAAAGAAGAATCACTGATGGGTAATTGAAAAAGCCAGGAAATGGCAGGAGGTTAGCATGTGAATTGAAACAGTGAAAGTGAGGGGCTCCATGTCATCGTGGTCACATACTATCACCATACCTGTTCACCTTGTACTAGGGTTGCCAGCTCCTATTCATCTGGTGTGACACTCATGCTTTCAGATTGTCACGCAAGAAATCTTACGGCAAATCTATATTATTCCATTATGAACCTAAAATTACCTATATCACAAGCGGTAGGGTAGTTTGCAAACCCTACAGACTATTTACAAAGCAAAAAAAAACTGTTACATGCATGTAAATGCATGTATGTGCAAACTTGATTTTCAAATTGAAAATCACACCAGTCAGCTGAACAGAGTAGGCAACCCTGTGGTACACAGAACATACTTTATACCAAGATAAACTGGAGTGGAAGAAGACAACTGTGGATGCAAGACTGATGGAACAAACGTCAACAATTGTTGATATGCTGATGACACTACAGTCCATTAGGAAAGTAGGAAATGAAGAAGATATGAAGGTTAAAGCAGAGGGCGAGTACATGGGACTGTAGCTAAATGTAAAGAAAACAAAGGCCATAACCACAGAATTGGCAGATAATAGCTACAGTTTTGATGGTGAAGACATGGAGGTTATAGAGAGCTGCTGGTTCCCAGGAAGAGTCATTAACAACAAAGTAAGGAATCCAGAGAAGGCCTAGAAATGAACTTCAAAAACAACTCACGCATGTCTAAGAACAAAGAGCAGAGCTGTTCAGAATATGTTATTTTCTGAGATTCTTTATGCATGCAAAAGCTGGACAATGAAGGAGGACAGGAGGAGATGCTTTGTGCCAGAGGAGACTTTTAAGAAAACAATGAACCACAAGAAAAACAACCAAGCCTGGACTGCACAAATGAGCCGATTAAATCTGGGTATTACTTTGGGTACAGTATGTATCCATTGCAATGCAGAAATACAGAAGGTAAAAGAGGAAGAGGATGCCATCTTTTTCATTTCCATAGTCAACATAAACTTGATAGCACATAATAATAATAATAATAATAATAATAATAATAATAATAATAATAATAATAATAAAAATAGGACACACACCTAGTAAGCCGTTAGTGATTTTTTTGGTGCTTTTGTTTATTAAGTAGTGCTTGCCACATTCAACAATAACATATTTATTGTAACAAAAATCTGTAATTATATCAAATATAGAATAAGTGCTATTTCTGTGCCATTTTACCAGTTTGACTAAGTTAGCTATTCGTGTATAACACCAAATAACCCTAATAGTTTCTCTTCTGACTCTTTTGCCTTTTTCAATCATAGTTGCCAGTTTTGTTTCAGTCGAAAAAGAAAATGCATAGCATTCCATGGTTAATAATAAAGTGTTTTATTAGAGTAACCGTAGAAGCAATGTGTTTCCTAGGTCCTTGATTAAAGACGTATTTTTCTGAGCTTCTTTTCATTTGGCATTTTCATTCCCTTGCTGAGGCAAAACCAAAAGCTCTTGTGAAATAGAATAATGAATTGAAAGGAAGCCAGAGACAATGAGGGCTACTGCCTTCCGCTTCCTGTAATTGAGTTATTGAATGTGTTGCTACAGCACAGATTTACACAAAGTCAGGCACACAAGGTTCTGTTTTAACGAAATTAATACTGCCTGAACTGCCTTAGAAGAAAGACGTTTGTAAACAACGTAGACAAGGAATGTTCTAACTTCCAAATGTGCATTACAACCAAATATCTGCATGCAGGTGAACATCAGCAATTTTTTGTAAAGCAGAACTGAATGTGCAATCAGGATATTATCTATGTATTTACATTACTTTCATTGTTTGCTGAAAATCTGCACAAAATGTGTACAATATCCATTGTGATGTAAATTTAAGTACATTTATATCATAAATATAGCGTTTAATTTTACACTGATAGTGAAAACCATCCACAAAACAAAAAATAAAAGTGCCATAGTTGTACCATAACAACAAAATAAATCAATAATAGAACTTTGTGTTTGTTTTTCAGGTATCGTTATTGAAGTTTCATAAGCATATGGCAGGGTTATCATAAGGAACGCTGTACATAACAAAACAACACAATTTCTATTCTAATCATTTCCATCAAGGTCATAAAATACAGCTAATAAAACAAGAAATGGAAGCGTGGGAAATGAGACCTTTTTGGAATGAGCAATGTTGCTGAGGTGTGTGTATCCCACCGGTCTGTAAAGCTTTCTTTAGCTGACATGTCTCTGGAATGTGTACTTTGTTTTAAACAAATACTTTACTGGAAAATTCTATTAACATGCTTCCAAACCAAATACTTCATTTAAAGCAACACATAGATTCCAGGGGGGAAATGATGAGAGTAAGATTAAATGATGGTCATGACAGGTTTGTATGGTGAATGATCAAAGACAGAATTGGATGAATCTGTCTGGTTTCCCTAGATTGCTAAATAACACCGTCACTGGAATTCTAGTGCAGAATGCTGGAAACAACATAGTGAGAATGTCAAAGGGATCCCCCCCTCCGCCCACCCCCTAGAAATAACCAGAAGAAGAGCTTGTCCCTTATGTTTCACACATGTCCGACTTAATGTAGTGGTTTGATTACTGGCCTGTAATTTGCATGCAGACCACATGTTTGAAAGCATTTGAAAGCATATGTTTTCAGATTTGAACAATGAGAAGCCAATATACATGCATCCAGAAGCTTCACTACAGACTGTGATGGAAAAAAATGTATGGCTCCATGTTAAGAAGCTAATGGGTAGAACCAAAGTATCATTGAATGTATATTAGGTGTATTGTGGTAATGTAAATAAAAATTAGTGAATATGAAACAGGGGGGTAGTACTTAGGGTGACCAGATAATCCATGTCAGGGAGGACACTCTGAGCTAGGACAGGAATTGTAAATTACCATTTCAATTAAACGGACTTGGATTTCACTTGAGCACCGAGTTCTTGCTGTGTGTTGATTGGTCAGTCTCCTATAAGCATGCATGTGTCACTAATGCTAATGTAAAACAGCTGGATGAGTCTTTCAGTCAAGGAAACAAACCAGTCAAAGCACAAGAAGAGCTGAACTCTTTAGCCGAGCACAGGAGCCTTTTAATTTGGAAGTAGTTTGTAAAACCCGAAGTAGCTCAAAGTGTCCTCCCTGACATGGATTATCTGGTCACCCTAGTAGTACTGGATTTTGATTTCTCTTCCCAGTTCTGTGTGTATGTGGAGTTTTCATCTTCTCCGCAAGTTCTGTGGGGTTTCCAAGGTTCTCTGGTTTTCTCCTGCACTCAAGGCATGCTGTTAGGTTAATCAGCGTCTCTACAGTATGTAAAGAATAAATGGATGGATAAATCAAGGTGCTTAAGGAAACAGATATGATAAGAACTTTTTAAATCTCAGATGTGGCAAACTACAAGTGAACCCATGCAAGATACTGCAAGAACAAGCTCAGATATAATTGAATGGTGTACGGCGTGGAGCACAACAGTTAATTAGTTAAATATTTAGTTAAGTATTGCATCATTTTAGAGGAAATTAAATCAAAATATAAACATTAGCAATAGAATGAAATTACTTAGCATTTTCTCCAGATTTCATTTATATATACGGTATTAAAGCGCATTTTTTTTTTATCATGTAAATTAAAAAAGGCCAAGTATTGCACATTTTCTCGGAAGTGCCCATTTCCTCCAGAACCCTCCGGAAAGGACTGACAAGGCAGCTCCATGCATGTAGCTCTTCAGAAGAAGGCGGGGTTAGTATGCTCAATGATGCAGCGCTTGCAGTGGCGCTTGACGAAGCGCAGCGCCCCCAACGACACGTCACAGTCCTGCACGTTGAGGAGCTGCAGGTCGAAGCAGTTGGCGGCGAGCACCCGGAGGCCGCGGTCCGTGATGCTCTCGCAGGCCTTCAGGCTCAGCCTCTTCAGGTGGAAGCAGTGCAGCGCCAGAAGCTCCAGCCCGGCGTCCGACACTAGGGGGCACTTGCCCACATCCAGAGACTTGAGCCTGGGGCAGCTCTTGGCCAGGTACTCCAGGCCGTGGTCCGTGAGACCCTCGCATCCACGGGCATTGACGTAGCGCAGCTGGCCACAGTACTTAGCAATGTAGCGCAGGCCCACGTCGGTGATGCGGCTGCAGTGCGCCACGCTCAGGTAGCGTAGGCGGGCCTCCAGTTTGGCGATCTCGCGCAGGCCGAAGTCACTGACGAAGCGGCAGTCGCTGACGCTGAGCTCGCGCACGCCGGGGCAGTAGAGCACTAGGCAGCGCAGGCCCTCGTCGGTAAGGCGCGCACACCGCCGCAGGTACAGGTGGGTCAGCTGCGTGCAGTGCGCCGCGATGGTATGCAGGCCCTCGTCCTCCAGCGCAAAGCAGTCCGTCATGTCCAGGTAGCGGATGGAGATCTGGCGGCCGTGCGCCGGGGAGAGTTTCAGCGAGGCCTCCCGCGTCAGGCTGATGCAGGTCACCTTGGAGCAGCCTGAGGAGGAGGTGCCGGGAGGGGGGGGGGGGATAAGAGTCAGGGAAGCAAATGGGAGAGGAGTGCACAGAAGGAGAGAAAAGAAAGAAAAAAAGAAAGTAAAGAGAAAAGAACGAGCAAGAGAAAAGAGTATAATCAAAAGGATATTAAAGAATGAGAGAGCACAGGAAGCACTTTTTCATATTTGTCTTAAAAACTGATTCCTGAGTGTAGCTGGATCAACAGATACACTATAAAGTACTGCGCCATTGACACCTGGCCATCACACCTACAGGAGCCTTTATGGCATCCCACTCTAAATATATAGGCATCAATATGGAGTCAGTCCCCCATCTGCAGCTATAACACCGGCCAACATTTAAAATTTTTTTTGTTATGTGATTTAACAAAAACAAGTGCATGTTCTACAGTTTATCATGTAGCTTCAGAATATGGCCACACGTCTGGTTTTGTCACAATTTACAATTAAAGTTCAACATAAATTATAGCAAATGTTGTATTAAAGAAACAGTTCATCGTGTCTTTGCTGGTCACTTAGCACAGCGAAACTGTTTCCGGTATGATTTTCTTTTGTATCAAGCATCAGGATTTTGTCTGTACGTACTCCGACAATAATCAGCCATCATATTTGCATTCCAACGTCCTTGGTATCTTCGCTCCATTTCACTAATATCTTGATGAAATCTCTCACCTTGCTCCTCACTGTACTCACCCAAATTTTCAGGAAAGTAATCAAGGTGTGAGTCTAGGAAATGCATCTTGACACTCATTCTACATCCGACATCTTGAAAACGACATACCATATCCTTGACGTGAACCTCATAGTCAGATGACTTGTTGTTTCGGAGAAATCCATTACCGACTTTATGTAATTCTTCCCAGGCTTGCCTCTCCACTGTCACCATTTTGGCTGCAAATACACTGTCCTTCAGCAACCTTCTTATCTGTGGTCTGCCTTCCGGTACTGAGTGACAGTACCGGAAAGCGGACCACAGTTCTGCATACAAAGGTAGGCGTCAGTGGACCCGCAGCAGCATACCTGTAAGTTTACATAACTGCAAGCTGCCTGTAAACCCTGCTGACTAGTTTGTAAAAAAATAGTCTATGGCAGATTACTGGTGATTTTATATAACTGGTATCAAAATGACATTATTAGGTATACGATGCATTGTATATGAAAAAAGTGAAGTCGAAATCACAGATAAACCAGATGTGCTGGAGCAAAACTAAATATACTAAAAATGTTTGTTTATGAAGGGTGTTTGAAAAATGTCATTTGATATTATTCACCAAATTTGATGTCGGCTAGTGTAACAGCTGTCACTCTTCTGGGAAGGATTTCCACAAGATTTTGGAGTGTGTCTGTGGGACGTTTTGCCCATTCATCCAGAACAGCATTTGTGAGGTAAAGCACTGATGTTGGACATGTAGACCTGGCTCACAATCTCTGTTCTAGTTCATCCCAAAGGTTTTTGATGGGACTGAAATCGGGGCTCTGTGCAGACTAGTCAAGTTGTTCCACACCAAATTCACCCAACCATGTCTTTTTGGATCTTGCATTGTGCACTGGAGCACCGTCATGCTGGAACAGAAAATTGCCTTCCCAAAAGTGTCCCCACAAACCTGGAAGCATGTATTGGTATGCTGAAGCATTAAGAGTTCCCTTCACTGAAACTAGGGGCCCAGCCCAACCCCTGAAAACCAACACCACACAATCACTCCTCCACCAATCTTTACAGTTGGCACAATGCAGTCAGACAGGTAACGTTCTCCTGGCATCTGCCAAACCCAGACTCATCCATCAGACTGCCAGACAGAGAAGCATGATTCATCACTCCACAGAACACATTTCCACTGCTCCAGAGTCCAGTGTCAGTGTGCTTTGTACCAATCCATCCAACTCTTGGCATTGCGCTTGGTGATGTGAGGCTTACATGCAGCTGCTCAGCCATGGAAGCCCATTCCATGAAGCTCCCAGCACACAGTTTTTGTGTTGGGGTTAATGCCAGAGGAAGTCTGGAACTCTGCAGTTATTGAGTCAACAGAGCATTGGCGACTTTTATGCACTATGCACCTCAGTACTCAGCGACCCCTCTCTGTTACTTTACATGGTCTGCCAATTCATGGCTGATTTCCTGTTGCTCCTAAACGCTTCCACTTTGCAATAATAACACTTACAGTTGACCGTGGAATATCTAGCAGGGAAGAAATTTCTTATTGACTTATTGCAGTGGTGACATCCTATGACAGCATCACACTTGAATTCCTATGACAGCATCACACTTGAGTTCTTCAGAACGAAGCATTTTTTCACAAATATTTGTAAACTTTGACTGTATACCCTGTGTGGCAATGAGTCTTAATAGAACCCCTGAATTCAAAGACTGAAAGGTGTGTCCCAATGCTTTTGTATATATAGTATATAGTATATCTAGATAGATAGATAGATAGATGTGATGCGAATTTAGCGGATTAGTGTTTCTGCTAACTTGGAAAACTGTTAGTGGACCAATTCTCTACTGCTAAACATAGTTCTACTAACTGTAAATCTGCTAACATTTTTTTTCACATCATACATATTTGTTCTTGTCTGTTGTGAGCATGTCTGCAAATCTATCTGGCATGCCGTTGGCTGACTATCTGTAAACACAAGATGTGATTGGTCGATGCAGCTGTGCAGCGCGGTAAACCTCTGCAGTTCAGATGACTTACGTCGTTACAGTCTCTAAGGCTGTGTCAAGCCAACGCAGAGCTTACGCCATAGCCTACGCAATTTACAGTCAATGTTTCAGTCTGGTGCTATAAAATTTATTGATATATTTTAATATTCTATTGGAGATCAAATAGCCTTGCAATGCAATGCTCATACTATCATCATTCCTGTTTGACTAACAGACAAATGTGTAAAAATGTATATCAAGGCTACAGTTATAATACCACCAAATGGAAAAGCCCAACACATCACAAAAACATGAAACAGCACAGTTTCCCAATGAAATTGCTGAACCATAAATGAATGAGTTTTAATGACATGTTACACTTCAATAAGCACCAGGAAAAATCAGCCCATTGTTGGCATCATATTAACAGCCCAAATGCTCCTTGGAGCGATGAGTCTCCTTTCAGCCCTGCACTGACCCACTTCATGCAAATTCACTCAAAACTGGCTTCTGCTCCAAATCTAAGAAGCAGGTATAAACATGCATAGTCAGGATTAAAACTAAAATTTGTATTTAAAAATGAATTACTGCTAATATTAAAGAAGCACAGTCATATAAAACCCTCGGTACTGGAGTAAACATATAAAAAGTGGTTTACTTATAGAAAGTAAAATTTCAGGCCATTTAATGATATACCACATCCAGAACAGACTATATAAAGTCAGTGATTGCAGTTTTAGACTGAGTATAGCCAAGACTGACTTGTTACCAAATTCTTTTTTTTTAATTGCAATGTCCTACATGTGGACATTCCGATGTGGAATGAATTCTGAGACAGTAGGCATGGCCATCTTGGTATCAGGGGACCAGCGTGATTGTGTAGCCTTGCTGCAATGTCCCTGCTCAGAACCCAAGTCCCATCTTGCCAATGATATGTTTGACATCCTCACCTGAATTCCTCTTTGTTGTGATCACCCCATCAAAAATTCCCCTCAGGAGATTAACAAAGTAAGTAACAAGTAAGTAAATAAGTATCTATCTATCTATCTTCTTCCCCATCAGGGTCAAGGGAAACCCCATCAATTGGGAAACCCCAGCCCCCACTGGACCACCCCATGTCATCTGCTTCACTTTGCTGTCCAAAGAGGAGCGATTATCACATGGGTTCATTTTAACCTCCTGAGTCCTGGGCTTTTGTTTGGTGTGCATGTTTCCTTTAGCTATTTGGGATTAGTAGGACCTCATAATAATAAAAACCAAACATTATTTTTTTTGAACAATTAATAATTTTAAACTAAAAATTATGTCCTTATATGAGGACGTAGGGTCTCAGGAGGTTAAAATTGTTATCTATGTTCAATGACAAGCTAATGCTAAGCTAAGCCTCTAAAATGAATAAAACCCAACAACTCCACGGGTTGTTTAGTGTTATTTACCTGAGATGTCCAAGTGCTCCAGGTTGGGGCATCGGGACACCACTTCAAAGACGGCTTCATTGGAGATGTTGTAGCATCCAGCCATCTCCAGCCTCCGGAGCTCTGGGCAGTACTGCGCCAACGTGTACAGGCTGCGGTCAGTGAGCCGCCGGCAGCAACTAACCACCACAGTCTCCAGCATGAGGCACACGTTGGGCGTGTCCTGGCACAGTCGGCTCGTAAGCACCCGCAGGGCTCGGTCGATGTGCAGCAACTCCCCTGGCAGCCGGATGGTTCGCCATAGCCTCGGGTCCCAAGCCAGGTCATACCAGCGGCGGCAAACCCGGGCACAGCGGCACAACTGGTCCGTGGGCAGGCATGCAAAGATCTGTAGCAAGACGTGGTCTGGGAGACGGTTTATAGGGGTTCGATGCTCCTTATCACTGCCAATGTGTGTCTTGGGGCTGTCCGGTGGAGAGTGCACGAGGGCAACTGTCTCCGCGGTGACAGAAGACGAGTAATTGGAAGACGTGCGGCCATTCAGCGAGGTCAAGGGTGACTGGGAGTCGGAACTGGGAGTTAGGATCACTGGGCGGAGAATGAGCAACGGAGAGGAAAATTCATCATGAATGCCAGCAGGGGGAGGAAGAGCACATGCCAAAAGCACTTCTGGTCAACTTAGCTACCTCAGTACTGATGAGCATTATTACAATTCACATGCTAGAAAAAGATACCTACATTTAAGTAAATTCATCCAATTTTAATAAGTATTCTTCCCGGCATAAATGCCCAGTTCCATTCAAGCTTAGGCGGTCAAAGAAAATGTTTAAAGCTATTTTATCAGGGTAATATATGCATATTTGCTCAGAAAGAAAAACAATTTACCATTACAATATAGACATGTTAACAGAAACACAATAAAACTAACAAGAATTTCTTCAGTTCTCCAAGAAGTTACTGAAATCTTGTTGGATGGCTAGAAGAACATAGTTTCAGTTCCCAAACCGCTCCTCAGGGACACTCCACCATTCCATGTAATTATTAAATTTCAGCACCAGTTCAATTAATTAATTTAACCAGTTAAATTACTCAATGTCGTATTGATTAGATAAGACGTGCTAGTGGTTGAGTCTAAATATTTCTTCAGAGGTTTCGAAACGGCTAAACTCACACACTCAGACATATCACAGTTTTACACTTACATGAAGATAATTTAAATTTCATGACTGCCTAAGACTTTTACACAGTACTAGTTCTAAGTATGTACTAAGTTTGTTTTCTTGAGATGTCGACCAAATTCCATTATCATGAAAAAAAGTGTATTAAAAAAAAAAAAGATACGGCATGTTCTTTCTCAGCTACGGCACAGTACTGATTAATGTAAGAAATGTTATTAATTCTTGGGTGGCGAGAGAGCTCCATGAGAGGCAGTACTTGCCTCGCACCCACAGCGCTGGGAATTTGGATACCATCCCCGCTCTGCACGTGTGGATTTCGCATGTTATCCCTGAGTCTCTGTGTCGCAAGACATTCCTCCGCCCAAAGATGATGCTTAAGCTGAGCCGGCATGGTACAGTAAATGGCCCATTGCGTGTGCTGGTGTGAGTCCTGCAATGAACTGGCATCCCATCGATTGTGTTCCCCTTGCCTTACACTTCTTGGATCGTGCTCCAGGATCACTGTGACCTTCTATCACATCAGTGACTAGATAGCTCATTTATTCTTAATTGTGCTTTATGTCCTCTGAAGCGAAGAAAAGTAGCTTTTTACCACCTGTTACTAATAGCAACATTGCAAAAGTAATGCAAAACCCCTTATTTATGAGTCCTTATAGAACCGGAGAAACTGCTGTGGCTGAATACTCAGTTAACCATTGAATGACTAAGCAATTTTTCACAGCTGAATCTATTAGATCATGGTAATTCTGAAATACAGTGGAAGCAGCATATTTTTAGTATAATGAGAAACAGAAAACCAAAAACATAAAACAGTGATGCTTAGCGACATTTGGTTTTTGAAACTCCGCCCTAAGATTAGATCATGCTGACCAAGTCTTCTTATTGTCTAGAACTAGTTTCCATTTTTGCAGCATCTGACTTTAATTCATATTTTTGACATGGTTTCAACTGCATAAATGTTTCCAGTAGGCAAATGAACACTGATTAAACCAGTTATAGTTAATAATTTGGTAACTAAATAATTATTTTTCCTACACTGAAAAAAGAGGAGCAGGACTTTTCTTTTACATGATAATTTCCTTTCTGAAATGTTAGTTTTATTGTAGCGCTGAGACAGACAGCAAGGCATCTTGGGCTGGTGCCAGCCCTGTAAATAATGTAAATATTTCACTGTATTTGTCGTGTATTGTAGTGTCATTGTACTGTATGTAACGTCATGTGTAGCGTGTTGTAAATAGTGGTGTGTGTGCACCCACCGCGTGTTGTTGGAGTGATCAGGACAGTCAGCACGGTGGCTAGTGGCTGTCGACAGCAGTTGGTATTTCTGTTGGGTCCCTTTAAGGGCTGCATCAAAGTCACCGTGTTTTGCTTTTTGCTGCCTGGGACTGCCGGTTACTTCTATATACTATATATGTGTGTGTCATAGGTCAACAGTCTAATCCAGGCATTATGGTGTTCCTTGTCTGTTTTGACATATTCTGTCCACTTTACTGACTTGCTATTTACAAGCAAGGGTTTCTTTTCTACTAATGAGTTTAAGTTGTTTTTAGTTATTTGGTTTATGTGGTTTATCCTATATTCTCCCCTCTTTGATTACTGACAAACATGCCCATTAAGTACATAGAGATCCAGCAATTCATTTTTGCCCATGTGTAGTGGACATTTTGTGTTGACTCGTATCTCTCCTACTATACATGCTGCTCTGTTATGTCCTATTGTTCCTTAAAGAGGACAGTTAGGGCTTTAAGATGACATCACAGGTGTGGGGATGTGACCTTACCAACTTCCTCTCTCTGTCAAATGAATAATCAATATTAAAAACTTTTTTCCCTTTAGATTTCTGGGGGAAATATTGCATTGATTTAAAAAAGTTTTTACCAGGTATCTTAATCCTCAATTAGGTTGCTTGAATCACAAAGACGTAAGTCAACATCAACAAACAACTGCAAACCAGTCTAAAGTGTTCATTCAAGAAAGCAATCATATCCATCCATCATCCAATCATTCCTCCAAGTCTGCTTCCAACCATCCAACCACAGATCTAAACTCATGCAACCGAGTCCTTCAACACCATCTACAGATGTTTTTTGTACAAGAGTAGGCAGAATCCAAAAGTGAACCCTATAACAGAACCTTAAGTCTAAGGCTAAAAGAATATCCTTGAAACATGCATCAAAAGAGCAGTGTGCACTGAATGTGGAACAGACCCCAGACCACAGCTCACATTGGCACGGGGTCACTTGATTCAGTCCATTGAAACCATGTGTTGGTAAATGACAAACAAAAGGCCCAATAAAATTTGAACAGCAGCTCAAGGAACGAGCTGGAAAAGTCCTCATGGGGAAAAGAATTAAGCAATTAGGTTACAGCTTTGGGCATCATGATTGCTAAAATAAATCAGGTTGTCTGAGTTACTGACGGCACCAGACCAAAAAGTCATACATTCAGCTCCTCCACAAGGTAGATGCCACTGTTGTTACATACAGAGCAGAAACATTTTCACACCTCTTAGGCTAACATGCTGTAATGCTCCTGCTGTACATTTGCTTCTTTAAACAATACGAGCTTATGGTTAAAAGAGCATTATGACCTAGAGCAGTGTTTCCTAATCCGGTCCTCAGGGACCCACAGACAGTTCACATTTTTGCTCCCTCCCAGGAAGCTTGGGGGGAGCAAAAACATGGACCATGAAGGGTAGTGGCAGGTCTAAGGTCTGTCTTAGGAAGCTCAAGGCACAAGGCAGGCAAGATGCTGGATGTGATTTTCATTCAACTTTGGGGAGACACTCAATTTCCAGAGACAAAAATTCAAGTTATGCACATTTTCCTGGTGTGTAGGAGGAAGCCCACTTGAACAAGGAATGGACCCTCCAACCCTGGATCTGTGAGATCATTATTATTAATATAATGATAAAATTCTAAAACCCACCTAATTATCAGATACTGTATATACAGGGACTGAAACATTTTCCATAATAAATAGCACTGCTGCTTCACAGCAAGAAGGTCCTGGGTTTGCATGCTCTCCCTGCATGCTCTCCCCGTGTTCGCATGGGTTTCCGCCGGGGGCTCCAGATTCCTCCCACAGTCCAATAGTGTGCGCAGTAGGTTGATAGTTAGCCCTGTGTGTGTGCGGCCTGTGATGTGTTGGTGACTGCCCAGGGTTGGTTCCTGCCTGTGCCCATTGTTCCTGGGATAAGCTCTGGTCCCCCTTTGTGACCCCAGTTGGGATTGAGCGGTTATGGTGATGGATGGATGATCAGACATGTCTCAGTAGACCCAACATAAAATGCACTTTGAATTCATCATCTTCTTAAAATTGTACACTGTGCACAAAAGCTCTTGGGACTTTTGGCGAAGCTCTACTGAGTCATGTTTATAGTTAACTGTGTGGATCAGTGTTATTCAACCCATTCTTCTGGGACCCCCAGAGCGTCCACATTCCTGCTGCCTCCCAGCTCCCAGCTCCCTGCATACCTGTACCATGTATTCTGTGATTTTGATCATTTGGTTTGTTTTTAATTGACTGGTTCAGGAGTTCCCGAGGACTAGGTTCATAAACACTGATATAGATTAAATGACTCCATGAGGTAATCCTGACACAACAGAAAACACTTTTAAACATGTTAGGTTAAAAAGTCTCATTATCTTCTTTCAGAGAGCAGATAAGCTGGTGCTACAATTAACAACGCTATTCACAATAGGAGGCTTCTCTTGCTCTCCAAACATATTACGATCACATGGAGAAAGACCATGTTATAGTAGATTTTTGCTTGTAAAAATGTGGGTAAACCTGGGTACAGGTATCCAAGCCACATCATGTCACATTGGGTATCCCCCAAGGCTCTATCCTCGGACCACTTTTATTGTCTCTATACATCACATCTCTAAGGCCAATCATCCAGCCACATGCCACTACCACTACCCTGGCAATGACATCTAGCCGTACCTGACCTTATCTCCTTATGTCACCATGGCCCCTGCTCGGATCTCTGAATGTTTCAATGACATCACAGCCTGGATGAAGAATCATTACCTCCAATTGAATCGCTAAAAGACCGAGCTTTCTGCTTTCCCTACCAGCCTTATCATCCACCATGACATCAGTGTACAGCTTAGATGCTCAACATTGTTACCATGTAAGTGTACAAGAAACCTCAGGGTAATGATGGATGACCAGCTATCTTTTGCAGACCACACTACAGATATCTCTTGGTCAATCTTTATTTGTCTAATTACACTGTTAGTCCAGAAACTTGCCATCACATAACTGGACTACCGCAGCTCCATACTGACAGGGTTACTAACTTGTGCTATCAAACCACTGCAAATGTTTCAAAATAAGGCAGCATGTCTTGTATTCAGTCATCCAAAATGCTCTCACGTCACACATTTTTTTTCTTTCTCTCTT